CAAAGGTTAAAAACTGGTTATGGACAAATCAAGTGTGTGATCATGTATGAGTTGTATAATTTTAATGTTTTATTTGGGAACAGAATGGTGTGTATGTGTAAGTTTGGTGATGGAGTTTTTATTATGAATGAACGATGAATTTTTATGAATTATTATGTCTATTTTTTATGCGCTTTTTTTTTTTTTTCTTTTGAGCTGAACTGGCTCAAATGTCACAAGTTTGGTGATCAGAGCTTTCAAAACTTCATGGGTTTACCGTCAACAGGTGTTTGAAACCTGCTGGATTTGGAGTGGTCATATCTGCACAATTGCACCACTTTGCTGATGCCAATGAGAGAGGTTATGGCAGGGGTGTCAAACTCAAATTCACAGTGGGCCAAAATTCAAAACTGGAACAAAATCGCAGGCTAACATTAATACTTATTGAAAAAAAATCTTCCTCCAGATATAAGAATGAATCTTTTCTTATGGACTCAAATAAGTTTTGCTGGAAAACTAAATATGGAACAAGCAAAGCTTAATACTAAACAATATATATATATTAGCTGTATAATACCAGTAGGCCATCTCTAATAGTATTTTGGTATGGCTTCGCGGGCCAAATGTAATTAGGCTGCGGGCCAAATTTGGCCCGCGGGCCAGAGTTTGACACCTATGGGTTATGGCGTCGTTACTTACCTCCGTATCACAAAGCAGAAAAGAGAAACTCACTTCTCATTCATCGTTGGCAAGTGCAGAGCGTCTCCTCTGGAGCAAATAACAATTCCACGTCTCGAGCGGACAGCAGCTGCAGTTGCTGTAAAAATGGACAAGCTCATGAGAAAGGAGTTGCAAATGCCACAAGAAGAATCTGTGTTTTGGTCTGACAGTACCACTGTTTTAAAGTACATCTCCAGTGAGAACATCAGATTTAAGACATTTGTAGCAAATAGAGTTTCACTTATTAGAGACACAAAACCAAGTCAGTGGATGTATGTGAACTCTGAATTAAACCCTGCTGACCATGCTTCAAGAGGAATAAACACAGACACATTTATGAAGTGTCCAAACTGGATTGCTGGGCTAGAGTTTTGTGGGCGATCCTGGCTCAAGAGTTGGGAGTTCGCCTTGTAATCGGAAGAGCCCCGGCTTGGACAGTCTCGGTCGTTGTGTCTTTGGGCAAGACACTTCACCCGTTGCCTACTGGTGGTGGTCAGAGGGCCCGGTGGCGCCAGTGTCC